CTTCTATAATTGAACACTGTTGCAACTCCAGCTCTGAGGCCCGGCTGGCTGAAAGCAGGTTTCTGGGGATTGTTTAGCTTCTATAATTGCAACATAGTTGCTTAGAGTGCAGCTCAGAGCTGGGCGGCGGCAGGCGGGGAACCTTGGCTTCCTCCATCACTGGAGCAAGCAAGCCTCCTGTTCGCTTCAGCTACCTGGCTGCTGGCCGCCATCTTGGTTGGCAGTTGATTTGCATATCGCCCTGATTAGCCTATGGGAAGCATGTCAGAGGTACAGTTAATTACCATGTTTGTCTATTATTAGATAGGATAGAGGCCTGGTGCATGGGTGGGGGCCAGCTGGTTTGCCCTGAAGGGTGTCCCGGATCAGGGTGGGGGTCCTGCTGGGGTGCCTGGCCAGCCTGGGTGAGGGGCTGAGGGCCGTTTTCAGCTTGGCCAAGGCCCCCAGTGGGGACCCTCACCCCATGAGGATGTGGCCAGCATGGGTGAGTGGCTGATGGCTGTTGCAGGCTGGCCAAGCCCCCCAGCAGGGACCCTCACCCCATGAGGGTATGGCCAGCCTGGGTGAGGGGCTGATGGCTGTTTGCAGGCTGCCCACAGCCCCTTCAGGGTGGGGGTCCCCGCTGGAGTGCCTGGCCAGCCTGGGTGAGGGGCTGAGGGCCGTTTTCAGCTTGGCCAAGGCCCCCAGTGGGGACCCTCACCCCATGAGGATGTGGCCAGCATGGGTGAGTGGCTGATGGCTGTTGCAGGCTGGCAAAGCCCCCCAGCAGGGACCCTCACCCCATGAGGGTATGGCCAGCCTGGGTGAGGGGCTGATGGCTGTTTGCAGGCTGCCCACAGCCCCTTCAGTGTAGGGGTCTCCACTGGGGTTCCTGGCCAGCCTGGGTGAGGGGCTGAGGGCTGTTTTCAGGCTGGCCACAGCCCCCAGCCACCCAAGCTTCCAGTGGAGGTGGCTGGAAGCAGGTATCTGGGATTTATTTGTTTTCTATAATTGAAATTTTGTTGCCTTGAGCAGATCACACAGCCGCTGGCAGGAAGCTTGGCTTCCTCCATCACCAGGGCAACCAAGCCTCCTGCTTGCTCCAGCTCTGTTGCTGCCGGCCACCATCTTGGTTGGGTTAATTTGCATATAGTCACTCTGATTGGCTGGTGGGCGTGGTTTGGGGCATAGTGAATTAGCATCTTTGTCTTTTATTAGTGTAGATTATTATTATTATTATTATTATTATTATTATTATTATTTAGGGAGAGTGGAAAAGAGAGGGAAAGACAGAGAGAAACATCTATGTGAGAGAAACACATTGATTGGTTGCCTCCTGCATGAGCCCTGACCAGGGCCTCGGCCGGGTAGGAGCCTGCAACCAAGGTAGGTACCCTTGACTGGAATCAAACCCAGGACCCTTTGGTCCACAGGCCGACACTCTATCCACTGAGCCAAGGGCTATGCTTGTGGATATATACCCAGAAGTGGGATTGCTAGATGACATGGGTACTTTTATTTTAATTTTCTGAGAAACCTCCATACTATTCTCATAGCAGCTGGGCCATTTTACATTCCCATCAATACAGTAAAAAAGGTTTTGATTTCTCCATGTCTTCATCCACACTTGTAATCTTTTTTTTTTTTTAATTAGCCATACTAACAGATGTCTGGCAATGCCTCACTGTGGTTTTGTTTTGCATTTCCCTGGTAATTAGTGATGCTGAGCATCTTTTCATATACCTGTTGGCATTTGTAGGGTTCTTTGTAGGCATGTCTATTCAAGTACTTTGCCTATTTTTAGTTGAGTTGTGTTTTTTCCTATTGAATTGTACAAATTCCTTATATATTTTCAATATTATCCCCTTATGAGGTATATGGTTGCCAAGTAGTTTCTTCCATTACATGGGTTGTGTTTTTTCCTTTGTTGTGCAGAGAGGTTTTTAGTTTGATACAGTCACATCAAACTAGTTAGATGTCTATTTTTGTTTTTGCTTGCCTGTGCTTTTGGTGTTATATCAAAAAAAAAATCATTGGCCAGATTGATGTCCAGAAGTTTCCCTAATATTTTCTTCTAGGAGTTTTGCAATTTCAGGTCTTGAACTTGTTTTTACCTATTTTGAATTAATTTCTGTGAAGGATGTTAGATAAGGGTTCAATTTCATAAGTGGATGTTTTAACAATATTAAATCTCCCAATCCACGAATATGTCTCTCCATTTTATTTTTGTCTTTTGTCTTTCATCAATGTTTAGCAGTTTCCCATGTACATTTCCTTAGTTAAGTCAAATATTTTATACCTTTTGATGCTATGGTAAATAGGATTATTTCCACCCTAGGTGGTTTGGCTCAGTAGACAGAGTGTTGGCCCTTGGAATGAAGGGTCCTGGGTTCAATTCTGGTCAAGGGCACGTACCTGGGTTGTGGGCTCAATCACTGTCCCTGGTCCAGGCTGGTGCAGGAGGCAACCAATCGATGTGTCTCTCTCACATCCATGTTTTTCTCTCTGTCTCTCCCCCTCCCTTCCACTCTCTCTAAAATTCAATGGAAAAATATGCTCCAGTGAGGATTAAATAAATAAATGGGATTATTCCCTTTACCTTTATTTTTAACTAGAGGCCCGATGCATGAAATTCGTGCAAGAGTAGGCCTTTGCAGCCACGGTGGCTGCCTCGATCCCTCCCTTGCAGCCACAGCGGCTGCCTCAATCCCGCAGCTGCAGCCCCAGCTTTGTCTAGGAGGTTGTCCAGAAGGACATCCAGATGGTCCTTCAGTCGATTTGCATATTACACTTTTATTATTATAGATAGTTGATTGTTAATGTTTAGATACAACTGGTTTTCGTATGTTGATGTTGTTTTCAGGAACTATACCGAATTCATTTTTTAGTTCTAACAGTCTTTGTGAAGAGTTTTAAGATTTTTTAATATACAAGAGCATGTCATCAGCAAACATGTTTCACATCGTTCTTTTCGAATGGATGGCTTTTATTTCTTTTCTTGCCTAATTGCAGCATTGTTCACAGCAGTAGTTATAAACTAATAGCAACCATTAGTGTCCATCCACTATAGGATGGCATAATCAGATCATAATCACTTTGCTAAAATCATACACTGGAGCCCTGACTGGTTTGGCTCAGTGGATAGAGCATCGGCCTGCAGACTGAAGGGTCCCAGGTTCGATTCCGGTCAAGGGCATGTACCTTGGTTGCGGGCACATCCCCAGTGGGAGGTGTGCAGGAGGTAGCTGATCGATGTTTCTCTCTCATCGATGTTTCTAGCTCTCTATCCCTCTCTCTTCCTCTCTGTAAAGAAATCAATAAAATATATTTTTAAAAATAAAAAATAAATAAATAAATAAAATCATACACTGGAATTCTAGTCAACAATAGAGGCAAAGGGTCTATAGCTACTGTGAATGACATAGATGAAGTCTCTCAAATTTGATACAGAATGGCAGAAGGGAGCTATAAAAGGGAGCAGGCAGTAAAATTTGGTTTATATAACTTCATATAAAGTGGGAACCTATTAAGAAAAGCACTGAGATGATTATCACAAAGTCAGGATAATAACTATATCCATTGGGGAGGGAGTGGGTTGTGATTGGAAGGAATTTTAGAAGACTGGCAACAGTCTATTTCTTGACCTTGGTCCTGGTCACATGGGTGTTTGCCTTCATAAAGTATCTAAACTTGGTAGATAAGTTGTATGTACTCCTCTATATCTCAGATTTGAAAAACACGTCCCCATCCCCCACTCCCCCCAAAAAAGGAATACAAAGAAAAACATGTGATGTAGAAATTTTGATGAGGTTTGAATTGTTATGGATGAAAAACTTGATCTCCGAATCAAAGATCAGCAACTGTACATTATCATTAAAAGAGAGGGGAAGCAGGGATTATTTAAACTCTAGGGACCCCATAATCAAATCATGTCTCTAAACCTCTCTCTTGCCAGATATTTCACCCTCTGTTTATATCGATTCCCAACTCACTGATGACAAATTGGGGGATCATCATCATCAATGATAAGATCATGAGACAGCACAGGCCAAATGCATTACAGTGAGACTGGGCCACTACAACTAAATGCAAGCAGGTGCTGGTGGTGGAGGTGAGGGTGGGGTGTATGGCACATGGCCATCTGTGCCTTCTTCTCAGGAGACTTCACTGCAGAGACTTAGGGTTTCACCTTATCACATTCAACAGCTGCTCCTGCCTGGAGACCTCCCTATGCTAGAGAATCTAGAGTAAGCTGGGGACTGCCTTATTCTCATGTGAGACTGCACATGACATTGACAATGGCAGAAGCAATGGTGGGAGTGTAGAGCGGGTTGGTTTAGCTTGAGCACTGTACAAGGAGAACCTGGAGTGGGTTGGGTTTGGCAGAGTTCAGTGTAGATGGCTTCATCCTCCAAGCTTTGCATTTCAAGGCTAAAGTGCTAATCTCTTTTGGCCCCATCTCTTACTGGTTCTAAACTCTGCGCCAGAGAACTGCAACAAAATTGCCAGTAGGGCCCGGGTGGGTGTGGCTCAGCGATTGAGCATCCACCCAGGACCTAAGAGCTCACTGATTTGATTCCCCATCAGGGCAGATGCCCGGGTTGTGGGTTCGGTCCCCAGTGTGGGGCTTGCAGGAGGCAGCCCATCCATGATTCTCTCTCATCATGGATGTTTCTATCGCTCTCTCCTTCTCCCCTCCTCTCTGATATCATAAAAGATTTATTTAAAAATATATATTAGGTACCAAATTTTCCTGGTCAAGACGGTTCTGGACACAGAAGTTGTCCAGAAAGCAAATAAACAAAAAAGACATCCTTTCAGACTTGCCAGCACTATGGCAGATTAAGATGGACACATACTGTGTCCTCTGAGGAATAACGTGTCATCTACCCATCCATCCATCCCTCCATCCATCCAGCCAGCCGTCCATCCATCCGTCCGTCCATCCAGCCGTCCATCCAGCCGTCCGTCCATCGGTCCATCCAGCCACTGATGGTTCACACGTGAGAGGCAGTGAGCCCCGGCTGAGCCCCGGGAGGGTGGGCGTTTGTGGCGGTTAGCACAGCGAGGGGGGCGTGAGCGGCATCCAGCAGACGGACCTCTGGGCACTGCGGCCCCGTGGGCACAGGAGCCGGCACTGCCCTTCACCTGGGGGGGGGCGGGGGGCTGCTTCCCTCCCGCGCGAGCTGTGTGTGTGCGGGTGTGTGTGTGTGTGCCCCGCGCTGAGGGAAGGTGTGTGCCGGGCGGGAGGGCTGCTTCCCCTCCCACGTGAGCGTTGTGAGTTCCTTAAAGGGGTGAGCAAGGGAGGGCCGGGGGCACCCAATGTCCCTGGTGCCGGGGTTTTTCCCCCGAGTTCCCGGGGGGGGGGGTGGGG